AGAGAGAGAGAGAGAGAGAGAGAGAGAGAGAGAGAGAGAGAGAGAGAGAGAGAGAGAGATGCCGACAGAGAGAGAGAGAGATGCCGACAGTGAGAGCCATACCGGCTCTGCTGCTCGCAACTGATACCTACGCGCCGCCGCCGGCCGCCGGGGAAGACCGATTACCCCTCCTTATTGCAGCGTAAGATACGGTTGAAAAAAAGGGGCAGCACTCCGTCTACCTCCTTATGACGCCATGGGTTGTAAACTACATTTCTTTCATATAAACTATTTCATTGTCAAATGGCAAAAAAAACCCTTGTGACTGACTAGTGTGGCTGCGTGAGCGGACTTATGGCTATAGTATTATGTACCCGGTCGCGGCTGGAAAAGGGGAAAAGTGCGAGGTCGGCGCGCGCAGTCTGGTTCCTGGCCGGCCATCCCCATTTTAAGAAGTCGGCGGAATGCCGCCACCTGTGGGCCGGATCGGGTCGCCGTCGTCGACGTCGTCGTCGCGGTCGTTGTTGTTGGCGCGGGCTGCTGCTGCTGCTGTGGGGAGTGAGTGACCGCACCGGCATGACAAGTCGCCTGACCGCCGGTCCCTGTCGGCACAATGTCCATCTGGTCGGGCTAGGCTAGCCGGAGCGGAGTGCGTGTCGGACTCTCCAGCAGCGGGCCCAGCCCGGCCTAGGCTCCTCCGCCAGACCTGCGGCCGCGGGCCGGGCAGGGCCGGCCACTGCACCACTTTCTCTGCGCGGTCTGACGGCGCCGACACCGCCCCCTCCCCCCCTCGCCAAGGACGCGCCCTTGCATCTCGATGATGGTGTTGGGCGTTGCCCTCGGCGCTGCTGTTGCTGCGCCTGCTGTTGCTGCCACTGATGTTTCCGCACCCCTCATCGGAGCTGCCGGACCGTCTGGAAAAGGTATAGTAAAGTCACCCGCCTGTCGACGACGGCAAGCATTTCTGTCCGAGGTGGTATGGAATGGATGAAAAGCATGGTTTATTCTTATTTATTTTCAGTTGTTTGTTGAATAAAAAAATATATATCAGTCGACATCGTACTATTCTCACTATCTCGCCCGTTGCCGGGCGGGCTGCTTGGCGTGTCCCGTCCGAGCAACGCCGCTGCGAGTCCAACACACTATTTTGTCCACTCACGATCACCGACCGTTCACGACGCCGCGACTGAACTTGAGCTTTTCACTAGCGCACTTGTTTTTGTGAGGGGCGGGGAGCGACGACGCCCATGGCACTGGCGGCTACCGCCACTTGTCCGCCTGGAGGGTCTCCTTGACCTCGAGGCCGCGCAGGACGTGCCCCGTCTCCGTCATGATACGCGGCCGCTTGCGCAGCCTCCGCCGCACGGCCTTGCTCTCCTTGAGTTCCTCTAGGAGCTTGTTGGTCTCCTGGGCGAGCTCCTCGCGCTCGGCCGTGTCGTCGGCGGCCTGCTTGACCACGCCGATGGCGTCCTCCTCCCCGCCCTGCTCGTTGGCGCGCGGCTCCGCCGACGACCGCGCCGTCTCGTCGTCGTCCTGGCCGTGCTGGCGGCGGCCCTCGTCGTCGGCGTGCTGCTGTCCCCGCGGCCGCTTCCGCCGGCGGGACGGCCGCAGCTGCTCGCCGTAGCGGACGCGGCCGCGCTTCTTGGGCGGCGCGGCCTCCACGAGCTCCGCGTCGCCGTCCGTCTCCGACTTGTCCTCGCTCTGGTAGTAGAGGGCCACAGCCTCCTCGGACGGCCCCGGCCCCGCCGCGGACGTCTCCGCCGCCTGTCCGGTGGCGCCCAGCGCGCTCAGCGGGCTGATGGTGGTGAGGTGTATCTCGGCGGAGAGGTCGGCGGGCCGCTCCACGACCTCGTAGCCGGACGGGCCGACCGCTGAAGGACCCTGGTGGTGTTGCTGCTGCTGGTGCGCCGCGTCCTCGGTGCCGTCCAGGTGGGAGCCGCGTCCGCGGGGGCGCCCGCCGGGACCGCGCACTGAGCTCCACGTCAGGTCGCCGAACTGCATCGTCACGGAGCTCGCCTTGGCGCCCTGGCCTGGTCCCGTACCCTGTGAACAGACCAGACGCGTCAACAACGACCTTGATTCTGAAAAAGACCCTGGTTGTCTGACTGGAATAGCACTTGTTAGGTTCACGGGTCGTCAGGGTGAATCATCCTGTTTGAGGTTTGGCGATGGCGGGCCCAGCCTGGTCAGTTACGTCCGTCATTACCCAACCCTAATGTGCGACAATGACTCCCGTGCTCTAGGGGGGCACTCACCTCCCCGATGAACGTCTGCAGGGGCTGGTACGAGTGGCTGATCCCGAGCACCTGGGTGGGGAGGGTGGAGGCCGGCGCGTCGAAGTGCAGCGGCTGCCCGTGCCCTTCGGCCGAGTCGCTGCCCTGCTCGGGGGCGGCGGTGCCCTCCAGCGCGTCCGAGTGGCCCCCGTGGCCTCCCAGGGGGCCTCCTTGTCCGTCTGCGTGCCCTACGTCGTGGTCCCGCCCCGAGTCCGACACGGCCCCCTGGCCGGGGACGGGCCCGGCCAGGGGGCTGGACGGTCGGATCGGGATCCACTGTTCGTTGTTCGGCTGGTACGTCGGCAGTTGGCTTTGGCGGTCGGCGTGGTGGTGGTAGTCCTAAAAGTTAAAGTAAGTCGGCATGCGTCACTACGGTCGTGACGGGACGGTCGGTACTTCAGTACGTTGTCAGCAGTGAGTGCAGTCTCGCCCGATCTACCTCTAGGAAGGGACAGAATGAAATTGAAGGAAAAGAACCCGCGGAAAAGTCACCGGAAAAGAGGAGGAGGAGGCAACGAAGAAAGAGTTGAAGAGAAGAAAAAGAAATCTACACGGGACGATCATTGTCACTCGAGCCTATTCAATTTTGATTTTAATGTTTTTTTGAACCTGCTGGAAACTTGCCACGTGTCCAACTCCGACGGGGTGGTCCTCCACGCTGGCGCCTGGGTTGCTGGCCTCGGCGGACACCGTGGGCGCCTCGTCGGCCAGCTGGCTTTTGTCCTCGCCGGGCTGGCCGGGGTCTGCGGCGACGAGCGCAGCCGAGTGCCCCGTCGTGCTCCCTCCCTTGTCCTTCTTGTGAGTCTCCGTGTACCCGTCCAACACCTCCTGGGCGGCGTGCTTTAGCGACTCCTTTTTCTTGTACTTCTCGTCCTTGGCCCCGTAAGACTCGTGCTCGTAGAAGTGTTTGGACTCATTGTTCTCGTCCTGGATCAGGTTCTTAGACTCGACGCACAGGAGCTCGTTGCCGGGCCCGTGCCCGTGAGAGCAGATGAGGGTGGATTTGCCTTCGATCTGCTTCCCCCCATGGCTATGGCCATGCCCGTGGCCATGCCCGTGGCCATGCCCGTGGCCATGCCCGTGCCCGTGCCCACCGTGGCAGTGCCCTCCTCCATGACCCCCATGCCCATGACCTCCTCCAGCGTGGCCATGTCCATGCCCCCCGCCGTGCCCATGCCCATGGCCTCCATGTCCATGTCCTCCTCCGCCGTGGCCATGTCCATGTCCTCCGCCGCCGTGGCCATGCCCGTGGCCCCCACCGCCGTGGCCATGGCCATGCCCTCCTCCACCGTGGCCATGGCCATGCCCTCCTCCACCGTGGCCATGCCCATGTCCACCGCCGCCGTGGCCGTGCCCATGCCCATGGCCCCCACCTCCATGTCCATGACCCCCACCGCCGTGGCCATGTCCATGTCCTCCGCCGCCGTGGCCATGTCCGTGACCCCCTCCGCCGTGGCCATGTCCGTGACCCCCTCCGCCGTGGCCATGCCCCCCTCCTCCGTGGCCATGTCCCTTGCCTCCCCCGCCGTGGCCATGCCCATGACCCCCTCCGCCGTGGCCATGCCCGTGACCCCCTGCGCCATGGCCATGCCCCTTGCCTCCCCCACCGTGGCCATGCCCATGTCCATGACCATGTCCCCCTCCGTGGCCACCCCCTCCATGTCCATGTCCGCAGCCATGTCCGTGCCCATGTCCCTTGTGTCCCTTGTCGTGTCCGTGGTGACAGCCGTGCCCCTTGCAGGCCTTGCCGTGCCTCTTGTGGTGCAGCAGCAGCCCCCCGAGGATCGTCTGGTGGCCGCCGGCTACCTGTTCAGGGCTGAGCAGCGACCCCGGGACGATGGGCGTCACCACCCCGGGGCCCCCGACGGCGGTCTCGGGTGCGCTGACGCCGCTGACGGTGATGGGCTCTGAGGGGATGCGGGGCTCTCCGGCGCCTAGTCCGCTGCCGAGGCCGACGCCTGGACCCGAGCCCACGCCGTGGAGGGACCCCGCCTCAGCCGTGGCGCCGTGATCGCCATGCTGAGGCACGACGTACACCGTCTTGGTGTGGGTGTGGGTGTTGACGTACTCGGGGACAATGATGCGGAAGTGGACACTGCAATATAGGTTAACGTTAAAACCTTTCTTCAAATCCTATTTCGATCGTTTACCCACACCCGCACTGCACAGCGGCACAAGACTTACTGTTCGGTCTCTGCGGTAGATCCTTTGAATGTAGTCATGGCCAACGCTGCGACCAGCCCTGTTATGATCTGGACCAAAAGAAAACAACCACAACATGCAGCGAAGTAAGTGAATCGGTCGTGAAAATGAATCAAATCGCAATACACCTCTAACACGGGCTCGGGCTTGAGTGCGTAGTAAGCCGAGTGGTCTTCCGGCTGGAAAGCAGCTATACTACACACACGGGCCCGCACGGGCCCTCGTTTAGCCGCCGCGTCTAGAACAGGCAGCGCTCATCCTCTACATCCTATAATATTTTTTACGACTCCCGGTAACGGTCATTTACTCGCAGTACGTCACCCCCTTTACTTTCGCATGGGTGCCTCCGCCCCGCCGCCCCTAGTAGTGTTGCACTTCCCGAGCAAAACGGCAACTTGTTCTCTCTTCACAGCAGCAGCAGCAGAAGCACAAAGGTGGTTGGAGGACCAGATCTTTTTACCCGCCCGTTGAGGCGCCGCCGCCAGCCGCCACGGCAGCTGCTGCTGCTGCTGCTGTTGCGCTGTTGGGTCAGGACTTTGAAAGTGAACACAACAACAACAACTGCTTCTACTGCGATTCCTGGTTCCGGTCAGTTGGCCGCGGTGCGCCAAACACAATCAAGGCCCAGCCCGAGCCCAGCGCCAGGCCCCCCCGGCCGTCTGCCTGTGGTTTCCTGCGTCTGCCGCTTGTGGTAGCGAAAGTGACTCGCGAGATCGTATCAAATAGTATCTCGCCCCGTGCCGCGCGCAGTAAACTATTACTCGCATTTTTTGAGGGGCTGTGGGCTCGTGTGCGGTGGGTCTGGGCTGGGCTCGCCGCCCCGTACACGCTACACACACACACACACACACACACACACTGGCGCTTTGCCTCTCCGCTCGCACTCGACTCAACGACGCACTATCGGGGGGCCGCATCTCCTACTCACCCTTAACACGTACAAAAGAAACAAGCCGGGCCCGCCCTTCCGCCAAACGTTGTTCGTCAGCTTCGCTGCGCCTCGCTGGCAACTCTGTTCTTCCGGGACCTGGCACTAGTAGCTTATGGCTTGCCCGCTCTTGGGATCGTCTAGATAGCACATACGTCCGTTTTCCTCAGATTCATTCGGCAAATTACGTGGGAGCTCGGCGCCTGCGAGACTCGGGGTAGGCCACCCCGCAGTACACGCATGCACTGTATGCAGGATGTTGCCTACCTGCCAGGCGCCATGGAAGCGTGCACACGCTGAACTCGACTGTTTCGCAACGGCGAATGACGGACAGCATTGGAGGTTTGCATACTCGCTCAGACCGCAGGAGGCATGGCACCTTACGTGCGGAGGGAGTAGGCATAACCCTCAACACTGTAGCGACGTGCGTGCTAGCGTGCACAGAATGACTAGAATCTCACGGATCCGCCCACGCATTTGCAACCCGGCCTTAAAAGCGTTCAAATCCTTATACGCATTTGCAACCCGGCCTTAAAAGCGTTCAAATCCTTAAATTCACTTTTCAATCAACTTATCATGTTAACAACAGTTTCCGCCCAACCGATTCCACACCCTTAATGAGAGTTGGGGGGATTTCAGCAATCGCGTCGGTGTACAAATGTGATCCAGAATCCATGAGATGCACCCGCAAAATTACACGGCTAGACATTTTTCTTTCAAATACTTCTTGAAGTCAGTCTTTTTAAAGACTTTCTAAAATTTCAATGCTGTAACGGAATCCGTCGACTGGGTTTTCTTCCGTCGAGACTATAAGTTGAGCCATGAGCTACATATGAAAAGAGGTGCTCAAAGGTGACGCGCACTACAAAGTGGCCGTCAACCTGCTCATACATTGTTTCGCAATGCCTTCCCTCATCATTTGCCTTGACTTTAATCTTGAGACTTGGGCATTATCATGGACGTGGTCCGTCCTGTGCATGTGGGGGTAACATCCGAAGAGGACGGCAGGCACGGGGACACTGGTTTTCGTCGTTCTCCCTCGCACTCCGTCACCCCTTCATGGAATTTTGAAACAATTTCCGTGCAAGACATCTTTTTTTCTGTCGGCCCTTACAGGTACAGGCGGTTCTCGCCGAATTTAGAGGGGATCTTAATCTCCACCAAAGGTCTATGAAAATTTTAGGGTAGACGGCTTTGAGGTGGGTCCACCCGACGCTGGGTCTGTTTTACCGTCTCCACACACGTTTGGACCCATACCGCACGGAAAGTGTTAAGCACCCCTTGCCTTCACCACAGCTTCGCTCACACCCTTGATGCAAATATTTGTATAAATTAACTGTCATCGCCACTTCAACATCCACACTGCACGTAAAAGAGACGCACACAACTTCACACACACACAAACACGCAATAGTTCACTGTCGATGTATTAAATCCCAATGGCGTCGAGGGTAATCCAATGACACTGCTGCACACACACACAGACACGCACTCCAACGCACCGGGTACATGTTGTCGAGCTTGATCGGGCGGACTCGCGACGCCATGTCACAGCGAGGGCATGGCGTACAATGGGGCTGTTGGCGCCTGTCCCAGCCGATTTATAAGTTTCCAAATAATTGTGGGCTCGCTGTGGCGGGAGCCTTTTGGGGGAGGGGACGCCCTTTTTTTTCGGCGGCGCCGAGGTGGGGAGGCTCGGCAGGCTAGAGGCCCCTAGCCAATGTGGTGGTGGCTAGAGTGCCCCAGTGAAAGGGTTCACATTATCGGTTCGTCACAGAGGCACGGCGCGTCGTCCTGCCCCGCAACGCCCCTCCTCCCCCTTCCCCCAACCGCGCCGCCTCCCTGACCCCAGACCCAACACTAACGCCTGCAGTTCCCCGCCGCTCGCTCGCTCGCGCCCCGGTCCTTCCCGACCTGCGTGTCGCCGGGGAAGAGCTTCTACTCGCCTATCGTGATCACAGCGGGTGTCGAGGAGGGGGGTATGATAAGACACCATCATATCGCAGCAGCAGCGTGCAATCGTGCATCCTGCGTCTGCGTATCGCTCTCTTGCGCCATGGAGTCTCGTCATCATCGACTGACTCTTGGGACTCTGACCGATGGAATTGCGGATCTGATGAGCGCTGTGAGCGTATTCGACCACTCAGATTTTTGGTGTACTTGGAATATCTGGAATATTTTTGGAATATCTGGAATATTTGGGGAATATTTTTGGAATATCTGGATCACTTTTGGAACATCTGGAATATTTTTTGGATCTGGAATATTTTTCAGTGTGTACATGGAATATCCAACTGGCCCACCCCGCGGCTGTGTGGTTAGAGATGGAGAGAGAGAGAGAGAGAGAGAGAGAGAGAGAGAGAGAGAGAGAGAGAGACGCAGACAGACAGACAGACAGACAGACAGAGCGAAAGAGACAGAGAGAGACGTTAGATGTTGTTGCGCGGGCGGGTGTCCACTCGCTGTGTTCCGCGGTCACTCGGACCAGGCCCTTATGACGGCCAGCAGAGCGTGACCCGGGGCTCCCCGCAGCAGTCCGGATGCAATATGACCTAGGATTGGGCGGCCCGTTTGGCCGATTTCTGTCACCCCGCTGGCAATTTGGTGAGCCAATGGAGCCCGCCCTCTGTGGCCTCTTGGCCAACGTACTGGTCAGGTAAGAGGGTGGCGATGTCGCAACGAAATGTCTTAACACGCACAATGACCGCGTCGAAGAGTAGTTCTCGAAAATTTTAGCCGTTTAGTAAATACATTGAGAAATACAGAATCAATCATCTCTTTAGTGACGTAATCTATAAAAAAAAGCAGGGGCGAAACGGCTGTGTGGCCTTGGAATCTTATGTTTCAAAGTGAAGCATTCGCCGCGGTCTTATTGTACTCTAGGAAAAAATCTCAAGTAACACTGAAAAATATTTTTAGCACACGATACCTTAAAAACCCTTTACTAACATAAAGAATATCTAAGTAACTTTAAGGTGTCAGCTAGCTTTTACTCTCGATGAGTACAGAGAACCAAGCGTAGACCAGGAAACAATTTCTTTTTCGCTGGGGGACCAAGTGAGTGGCTGGCTGTCGCGTCAGGCCCCTACCCTTACCTGCCTAACAATACTATCCGTCCCTGCAAAACAATACTAGCCCACCGGCGCCGGTCGCTCTGCGCGCGCCTTATCTCCCCTTCAACGCCGCTTTACGCCGAATTACAAAATTGCAAGTAACAAGCAACCATAAACAATGACAGCTAAATATGAGAGAAAATTGGAAACAGACCTATATTTTTGAACTTATCATCTGCTTTCAAGATAGATTCTTGATTTAGATTTTTTTTTAATTAAACAAATATTTTGCAGTTTCTTATCTGTACCTGTGTTTTAAATTGACACAAGTGACCAATTATTTTTTTCCGGCTGCGTGAGATTGGCGGGAGGAAAGGGGGGAGGGGGGTGAAAGGCTGCGGACGAGACAACAAAACAAAAGAAATGATTGGTCCATCGCACTTTTATTACTCGTACAAAACAAAACGACAAACATTTATGAACAAAAAAGTATCTATAAATTAGTTTATAAACGTTATATGTTATCGAAATTAGAGAAACAACTGTTTTCAGAGTGTGAGAGTCCAGATATGTGAGGCGAGGCAGACAGTTAAAACGCGCAAATTTCTTGTAGCGTGTTCTACACTTTAAACGCGTCTTTCCTGTGTGGGTCCGGCGATGCAGGTCCATGTTTCTTTG